CACCCATTAAACTTCATCCCATGTCATTAGGTAAATCTCCCTAACAATGCTCTCCCTTCCCCTAGTCCCCACCATGCAGGCCCCAGTGTGTGATGTTCCCCTTTCCTGGTCAAGTGTTCTCATTCGTTCTAGTTCCCACCTATAGTGAAGAATCATGCAAAAAAAGTTTTGTTTGGTTTTCTGTTCTTGCTGATTAGTTTGCTGAGAATGATGTTTCCCAGCTGGCATCCATTGTCCTCCTTCTTAAAGGACATGAATCCTCATCTCTTTTATATGGACTGCATATATATCCACATGGATGTTGAGCCACGATTGCAACCCCTGACTTTTTTTGTTTTCCATTTGCTTGGTAGATCTTCCTCCATCCCTTTATTTTGAGCCTATGTGTGTCTCTGCACATGAGATGGGTCTTCTGAATGCAGTACACTGATGGGTCTTGACTCTTTATCCAATTTGCCAGTCTGTGTCTTTTAATTGGAACATTTAGCCCATTTACATTTAAGGTTAATATCATTATGTGTGAACTTGATCCTGTCATTATGATGTTACCTGGTGATTTTGCTCATTAGTTCATGCAGTTTTTTCCTAGCATCGATGGTGTTTACATTTTGGCATGTTTTTGCAGTGGCTGGTACCTGTTGTTCCTTTCCATGTTTAGTGCTTCCTCCAGGAGCTCTTGTAAGGCAGGCCTGGTGGTGACAACTCTCAGCATTTGCTTGTCTGTAAGGAGGATTTTTATTTCTCCTTCACTTATGAAACTTAGTTTGTTCGGATATGAATTCTGAGTTGAAATTCTTTTCTTGAAGAATGTTGAATATTGGCCCCCACTCTCTTCTGGCTTGTAGAGTTTCTGCCGAGAGATCTGCTGTTAGTCTGATGGGCTTCCCTTTGTGGGTAACCCGACCTTTCTCCCTGACTGCCCTTAACCTTTTTTCCTTCATTTCAACTTTAGTGCATCTGACAATTATGTGTCTTGGAGTTGCTCTTCTCGAGGAGTATCTTTGTGGCGTTCTCTGTATTTCCTGAATTTGAGTGTTGGCCTGCCTTGCTAGGTTGGGGAAGTTCTCCCTAATAATATCCTCCAGAGTGTTTTCCAACTTGGTTCCATTCTCCCCGTCACTTTTAGGCACACCAATCAGACGTAGATTTGGTCTTTTCATATAGTCCCATATTTCTTGGAGGCTTTGTTCATTTCTTTTTACTCTTTTTTCTCTAAACTTCTCTTCTTGCTTCATTTCATTCATTTGATCCTCAGTCACTGATACCCTTTCTTCCAGTTGATCGAGTCAGTTAATGAATCTTGTGTATTTGTCATGTAGTTCTCGTGTCATGGTTTTCATCTCTAGCAGGTCGTTTAAGGACTTCTCTACATTGGTTATTCTAGTTAGCCATTCGTCAAATGTTTTTTCAAGGTTTTTAGCTTCTTTGCGCTGGGTTCGTAATTCCTCCTTTAGCTTGGAGAAGTTTGATTGTCTGAAGCCTTCTTCTCTCAACTCGTCAATGTCATTCTCTGTCCAGCTTTGTTCCGTTACTGGCAAGGAGCTGCATTCCTTTGGAGGGGGAGAGGTACTCTGATTTTTAGAATTTTCAGCTTTTCTGCAATACTTTTTCCCCCATCTTTGTGTTTTTATCTACCTTTGGTCTTTGATGATGGTGATGTACAAATGGAGTTTTGGTGTGGATGTCCTCTCTGTTTGTTAGTTTTCCTTCTAACAGTCAGGACCCTCAGCTGCAGGTCTGTTGGAGTTTGCTCAAGGTCCACTCCAGACCCTGTTTGCCTGGGTATCAGCAGTGGAGGCTATAGAAGAGTGAATATTGCTGAACAGCAAATGTTGCTGTCTGATCATTCCTCTGGAAGCTTCATCTCAGAGGTGTGCCCGGCCGTGTGAGGTGTGAGGTGTCAGTCTGCCCCTAGTGGAGGGCGTCTCCCAGTTAGGCTACTCAGGGGTCAGGGACCCACTTGAGCAGGCAGTCTGTCCATTCTCAGATCTCAAACTCTGTGCTGGGAGAACCACTACTGTCTTCAATGCTGTCAGACAGGGACATTTACATCTACAGAGGTTTCTGCTGCCTTTTGTTTGGCTGTGCCCTGTCCCCAGAGGTGGAGTCTGCAGAGGCAGGCAGGCCTCCTTGAGCTGCGGTAGAATCCACCCAGTTCGAGCTTCCTGGCCACTTTGTTTACCTACTCAAGCATCATCAATGGTGGGCGCCCCTCCCCCAGCCTCATTGCCACCTTGCAGTTAGATCTCAGACTGCTGTGCTAGCAATGAGGGAGGCTCCATGGATGTGGGACCCTCCGAGCCAGGCGCTGGATGTAATCTGGTGTGCTGTTTACTAAGTCCCTTGGTAAGGTGCAGTATTAGGGTGGGAGTGACCCGATTTTCCAGGTGCTATGTGTCACAGTTTCCCATGGCTAGGAAAGGGAATACCCTTCCCCCTTGCGCTTACCGGGTGAGGCAATGCCTCACCCTGCTTCGGCTCTTGCTTGTTGGGCTGCACTCACTGTCCTGCACCCACTGTCCGACACACCCCAATGAGATGAACCCCGTACCTCAGTTAGAAATGCAGAAATCACCCATCTTCTGTGTCACTCACACTGGGAGCTGGAGGCTGCAGCTGTTCCTATTCAGCCATCTTGTGCAGTTCAAGGAGCTGGTTTTTTTTAAAAGATTAACAAAATGGATAGACCACTAGCAAGATTAATAAAGAAGAAAAGAGAGAAGAATCAAATAGACACAATAAAAAGTGATGAAGGGGATATCACCACCGATCCCACAGAAATACAAACTACCATCAGAGAATACTATGAACACCTCTATGCAAATAAACTAAAAAATCTAAAAGATATGGATAAATTCCTGGACACTTACACCCTCCCAAGACTAAACCAGGAAGAAGTTGAATCCCTGAATAGGCCAATAACAAGTTCTGAAATTGAGGCAGTAATTAATACCCTCCACCCAAAAAAAGTCCAGGACCAGATGGATTCACAGGCAAGTTCTGCCAGAGGTACAAAGTGGAGCTGGTGCAATTCCTTCTGAAACTATTCCAAATGATACAAAAAGGGGGACTCCTCCCTAACTCATTTTATGATGCCAGCATCATCCTGATACCAAAACCTGGCAGAGAGACAGACACACAGAAAAAAGAAAATTTTAGTCCAATGTCCCTGATGAACATCGATGCGAAAATCCTCAAGGAAATACTGGCAAACCAAATCCAGCAGCACATCAAAATGCTTGTCCACCACAATTAAGTCGGCTTCATTGCTGGGATGCAAAGCTGGTTCAACATACACAAATTAATAAACGTAACCCATCACATGAACAGAACCAATGACAAAAAAACACGATTATCTCAATAGATGCAGAAAAGGCCTTTGACAAAATTCAACAGCCCTTTATGCTAAAAACTCTCAATAAACTAGGTATTGATGGGACATATCTCAAAATAATAAGAGCTATTTATGACAAACCCACAGCCAATATCATACTGAATGGGCAAAAGCTGGAAGCATTCCGTTTGAAAATGGCACAAGACAAGGATGCCCTCTCTCATCACTCCTCTGCAGATCATTCTTTTAAGGCTTATTCATTGGAGAACATTTCCCTAGTTCTCCTTTTACATGTCAGAGGTTGTCTCTGACAATAGGAGTCTAAGCAACTAGTAGAATAGCAGACCACCACAAGTTCCATTTTCTTTTTTCTTGAAAGTGTTAATTTCTCATGGTTGAATTTCTTTTAGACTATGTCAGGTTACTATTAGCCCCTCTGGCTGTTCCAATTTGAACAACTAGTTAATGTTAAAAAAATTATAATGAAATGAAAATGTATTTTTAAGATCTGGTGCTTTCTGTACATCATCCATCAGAAAGATTGAAAGCTGATTTGTTGGGCTATCAGTTTCCCACTGTGAAGCCCCTTGTCTTTTAAACTAACTGGTGTCTAGGTGGCCATTTTACTCTATGCTTATAGCCAACTTTCATTAATCATTATAAAAGAAAGCAAGAACTAACTTCAGTCTTTTGCTCTTATTAAGTAATCAAGTGACAGTCTTATTAAAAACAAAGTATACCTGGCAGTAACTTATGGTGGGATGGTAAACAAAAGTTGGGACTTACATTCTTGTCTGATTCTGAAGACCAAGAGAACACAACTCCATTAAAAGCATCCCAGAAGCAAATGGATTATTTAAAACTAAAGCTAAATCCTTGTTGGCTTTTTTGGTCCTGGACTTGAGTTATCTCTTCATTTTTCTGGATTTAAGACAAAACCAAATTGGGAATTCAGTGTCTCGAGAATCTTTTTTCCCCTATATCTGTCCAGATGTGAGAATATTCTACTCACATTTGAATACCTCATTTATTTTCCTGTAGGTCCAACTGGCCCTCCAGGAGATCCTGGACGCAATGGACTCCCTGGCTTTGATGGTGCAGGAGGGCGCAAAGGAGACCCAGGTCTGCCAGGACAGCCAGGTAAGACAAGTAAAACATGCTGTTGGTGGAGGGAAAGTCTTTGAGTTTGGGAGACCTCTGGACATAGGGCCTCCACTTAGAGCTGCGAGATCTTCCCTTGATGTTAGCATAGCTGACTGGTGAATATGGAACTGGGGAAAATAGCAAAGCACATAATAAGAAGATTTGTCACTATAAGAGAAGCATACAAGGTTACTTCTATTTGTGTTTAGAGCAGTGGAAAACTCAGTTCTTTCTCACGATGAGAATTTTCCAGGCACTCACTGTACTTACTTGTTCAGCAAATTTTCAATATGTTGATTTAAATCCCTTGCTTGAAATTATTGTGAATATTTCCACATTTGAAAATATCACAGCAGGCTGTAATTTCTTTCATAAAGAGCAGCAAATATAAACGAACAGTTTAAATGATTGCCATAGACCTTTAAGAGTCATGGTGACGTTTCATGTTGAGATGATAAATTGATACTAGGAGCATTAATAGGTGCTCCTGATAATACTGAGTCTGATATCTATTAGATTTTCAATCTGTACTCAATCTACTTCCAAAAAGAATTTGAGTCAACTTGAAATAAAAAATACACTAATGTTAAGATTTCTAAAATAGAAATAGAGGATCATACATTATATAGATCAGTAATATATGTTAACAACTCTAGATTATATAAATATAACTCTAAATAAACATAAAGAGTTTGTATTTCAAATATCAGTGGCAGCAAGGCAGAGTGGTAATACCTATAGCCTTCCTAGAGTCAATGCCCTGCCATTTCATTAATGCTATGTTTCTAGGGAAATAACGAGTTAGTGTCGTCTTCATCACAAGAGTTTCTGTGAAGTTTCCCTAAAATGAAAATTTATACACACACTGTCCAAAGGCCTGTGTATACAGAAAATTATTAAATGAACTCAAACCAAGAGGCTAAATCAAGAAGGGAAGTCAGTGGTAGATTGAAAATGGGCATTTTGAAAATACTTCTTTAGAATGCCCTGCCTGTTCTCTACACAAAAATGTATGCCTGAGAATAATTTCCCCAGACAGATTCAAAGGAAAATGTTTTTCAGCAATGAATCTGGTAGATTGATGGCAACCACACCCTTCCTTTCTCATTGATGAACAAAACAGCAGGCTGAAAATTGGTCATGGAGTTCAGATTCTTTTAGTACAACGAGAGACTAAATAACATACAGACTCTCCAAATAAGCATATTTTATTTGTCTCCTAGCCCATGATATCTGACAATGCCTTTATAGACACTCTATAAATATCAACTAAGTTAACTAGTCAAATGAGGTAATAATGTTTTGTCAATAACCGTAAGAGTGGATCAGAGCTTACTTAATCTTGTATACTGATGGTTTCGTGGAAATAGGTACTCGTGGTTTGGATGGTCCCCCCGGGCCAGATGGATTGCAAGGTCCCCCAGGTCCCCCTGGAACCTCCTCTATTGCACATGGATTTCTTATTACACGCCACAGCCAGACAACGGATGCACCACAATGCCCGCAGGGAACACTTCAGATCTATGAAGGCTTTTCTCTCCTGTATGTACAAGGAAATAAAAGAGCCCATGGTCAAGACTTGGGTGAGATAATCAATATTTAATTTCCTACTGTGCATTTTGTTTTTGTTTCAGAAATCCTGTTGGGTTCTAGAGTAGCCTTGGCCAAAGTGCCTCTCTCTATTCTTTTGGGGCTTCCGAACTGAAAACCATGCCAAAGGCAACTGAATATATTCACCATGATTTTTAAATAAATAATATTTAACCTTAAACTAAAAGCATTAATTAGCTCTTATGAGTGCAATTCTTGGCCTAAAGCAAATCATTTCACAAAGGCCACATTTACTTTTAGTTAGATTAGCTATTAATGAAACAGTTTCACTGGGCTCTTTGCAGTATAGCAGCTGCTTGAGTGTGCAGTGTTTATAATTCATGGGAGATAGTTACCTCATCTTTGAAACTGGTCTTCATCAAGTTCATAAGTTCTGAAGAGAATCTTGGTTCATAGATCAAAGAAAGTAAGGTCATTGCTTAATTATGCTAGTTTGTAGTTCCTAAAATAAGTACCTTAGCTTTATAAAGTATTACTGGAGTCATTTAAAGCTATATAAAGTATGACATTTCTGTACAAAATCCATTTCATTTAAAGTGCTCCCATGTATCTTTTCTATACTGGGATGGACAGCAAAGTTGATGGGATGACACTGGACTGAATCACTCTCAAGGACTTTTCCATCCCCATGAATTCTTTTCCTGGAATTTTGACTTTGGATGTTGAAGTCCCATTGTCTTACCTGGGGCTGCGTGGTGTTTTTTTGTTTTTTTTTTTTTTGAGACGGAGTCTCCCTCTATCATCCAGGCTGGTGTGCAATGGTGCGGTCTCGGCTCACTGCAACCTCTGCCTCCCAGGTTCAAGCAATTCTTCTGCCTCAGCCTCCCGAGTAGCTGGGATTACAGGCGCCCGCCAGCATGCCTGGCTAATTTTTGTATTTTTAGTAGAGACGGGGTTTCACCATGTTGGCCAGGCTGGTCTTGAACTGCTGACCTCGTGATCTGCCCACTTCTGCCTCCTAAAGTGTTGGAATTACAGGCGTGAGCCACCACTCCCAGCAGGGCTGCCTATTTTAAGACTGACTATCCCCTTTGCCTTCATAAAGACTTTTAAGAAGATAGTCTGGGCTCCCAGTTTCTGGAATCTCTATGATGAGAAGCTTCCTGAGGTCTCATTGGCTGGGCCATTCATTCTGTGGAAACGGTTCCGCAGCAACAGAGACCCCGGAGGTCAGCTTTACTCCCTACTTTTAGAAGGCATATGGCCACACCTGCCAGCCAGTTCTGGCCCACCAGAGTAAGGATATTCACTTACATGTAAGTCAGTGGTCATAGGTCATTTTATGAAACCAAATAATGTAAGGGTTTGCCCAATAGCTTTCTTCTCCGTCTTCTTTTTTTTCCACTTATATTTCCTTTTTCTCTTTTTCAACTTTCCTCTGCACTTTTCTTTCTCTTTTTCACTTGGTTACATATTTTGAAATTTTATAACTGACAAATCTTCATTAAATTAGTAATTAAATTATCTTTCCATAATTTAATTGAATAATAAATATCTAAATAATTAATTTAATATCTTCAGGTAATTTTCTCTAGTCTTTCTCCTATAAAATTCTTCTTTTTTGTTCAGTCTCTCTACACTGTCAGACTTATAATCAAACTTTAAACTTCACATCCCTAACCTACCAGGTCAACAGAGGAACCATTAGAAGTTTTGAGCACTACGAAATTAAAAAATGTAATGCAAACAGAAGATAGAATCTGCTATCAGCATGTAATTATAACTTTTCGGAATCCATGTATTTGCTCGAATAAGAACAGTCAGATTTAGAGTCTATAAATAGACTGTGACTCTGGTAGTTTAGGCCTCAGACACAGGGAAGGCCATGACAGAGCCTAAGATCCTAGGAATGGTCCTGGATTGCAGAGGCTTTGCTGGGGCTCACACAAGGATCACATTGGAGGTATCTTGATGACTAAGCAAAGATAGAGGCAGCTATAACTTTGATGTTAAAGAAACAATTACCTCCTGATCGAATAAATGCAGTCTGTGTTGAATTAGTGGAAGGATTATACAATGTAAGAAAGAGGACGGAGAAGATGGATTAAATACTAAAGCTTTTCTGTCTGGGAGAAAAATAAAACATACTGAGAACCATTAGTCTATTAAAGTCTTATAACTGTAGGGTATAGAGGGCATTGGGAGTATATGGGATCACTCTCTCTTCAAAAATTTGGAGACTATATCCCAGAATTCTGCATCATTGTGGGCAGCCACAGGTGCAACCAGATACTCCAGATACTTCCATCATTATGGGCCTTCCTTTTATTTACCTTTCTTTTCTCTTCCTTATAAGACCGGGTATTTTCAGCTCTGTCCCAAATTAGGCAGTAGAATAGTTTTCTTTTTAAATTACTTTATAATGTACAAAGCATTTTCATGTCCATTGTCTAATTTAATTTACACAACTATGATTAAGAAAAATGTATAGAAATATTCTGCTTTTTCATTTTACACACAAAGAGACTGGCTAACAGGTTAAATAACTTACTGAAACCTTATACAGTTAGAAAGTGATGGAGGTAAGACTTGAATCCAACACCTGCCAATTCTAAATTCATTTCTTTTTAAATTTTCCCCTGTTGTTCACTCTTACAGGACTGTGAGTCAGTCAGGTTTTTCTTAACCAGTTTTTTAAATGCATAAATTTGACTAAATCAATGATTTTCAACCTAGGGAATTTTCTGAAGACTCCTAGTCCTATGCCAAATCTATTGTATAAAAATTCCAAATAATTCTGACAGTACAGGTTTGAGATCTATTAGTCTTTTGTCAGTCATCTTCAGTCTGAGATAAGCATACCCCTTTGAATATATGAAGAATTTCCAAGATGCATGGAGGCATAATTTTTTAAAAATCAAATTTCAACTCCTTGACTTTTATATGTATTTTCTCCTAAAGTCAGTCTGACTTTAGCAGATATGCTTTGGGCAATCTCCTTTCCCATATCTCCTTTCACTGTCATGCCTTCTCCACTTTGTAAGAGTCATACTCTTGCACATTGCCTTGAAGTATGAAAACCTCTGACAGACAAATTCAAAGGGATAATTCAAAATAACAGTTTTGCTAAAGATACAATTACTGTTAAATCCAGCAATCCCATTACTGGATATTTACCCAAAAGAAAATAATATATCAAAGGGATAGTTGTACTCACATGTTTATTGTAGCACTATTCACAATAGCAAAGATATGGAATCAACCTAAGTATCCAGCAAAGCATGAATGGATAAAGAAGATGTGGTGTATATACACAATGGAATATTATTCAACCATTTAAAAAAATGAAATCATGTCATTTGCAGCAACATGGTTGGAAGTAGAACTCATTATCTTAAGTGAAATAAGCCAGGCACAAAAAGACAAGTATCACATGTTCTCACTTATATGTGGGAGCTAAAAATTTGAACACATGGAGGCAGAGAATGGAAAGACAGATAGCAGAGACTGGGAAGGGTAAGTGTGGGGAAGGGGGAGGATGAAGAGAAGTGGGTTAAGGGATACAAACATACAGTAAGATAGAAGGAATTAATTCCATATTTGATAGCAGAAGAGGATGACTATACTTAAAAAAAAATATTGTACATGCGTGATGTATACCCTAAATACCCTGACTTGATCACTGTGCATTATATACATACAAAAATGTTCATGTACCCCATTATTTTGCATAAATAAAAAATTAATAGTTTTGTTAATATCTCCATTAACTCAAGCTCTGTAATTCACTTTTAATCCATCTTACTAAGAAATACGTTTCTAATAAAAGTTTATTGTAATAATTATATAAAAATTTATAATATATATATTTTTATCAGTTATGAATTAATAATAATAACAATGACAGGTCAAAATAAAACGTTTAACATGTAAAGTCTTATAGTCACAAAAAGTTTTTTAAAAGTATTCAATTTTAATTTTTGAGAAATATGATAGCATGATCAATAAAAAACTTTCAAAAATAAAAATATGTTACATTAGGATAAAAGTGTGTGAGAACAGTGGAAGGGAAATATAATTTTTAAATGTAGAAGGAGCAGTGTATAATTTCCAACTGTTAAAGACAAGTTTATATATTTTCTATAATGGTAAATGTTAGATCTCAAATCATTATATTGGATGCATTTAAAAGAGTGATATAAAAGTTTGTTCTTAGATATCAATATTCACAAAACACCATAAATGAAAGCTGGCAAGGTAGAAATGTGGTTTGCAAATTCCCAGTCCCTACTATTACAAAGTGGAATACAGAAGAGTGGGTGTGGAGCTGAGAGACAATAGCTAATATCTTAATACTGGCACAGTATCAATTTAAACTTATGATGAAATTTAGATATCAAAACTTTAGATATTTAACTTTCAAAAGTGTAAGTGCATTTTTCATCATTCTTTTGTGAGTAAATGAGAAAAGAAAGGCTTGATCACAAGTAAAAATAACCTCTCTTGTCCTACTAGCTCTGAATTTCAAAGATTAGTTTCTTTCTTATTTTGGTTTGCTTTCCCCTCACATCTTTCCTTCCTATCTTATTTTTTTCCTTTTTACGTATTCTTCAAACCTGTCTGCAGTGGCTCTGCACACTGGCCAGTATTACTATTGTCCCTAGGCCTAAGGAGATTGCAAATTCACACAAGATACACACTGAGGATGTCTTAGAAGAAGAGAGGGCAGCCTGGAGCACGAAATATTGATAATATATCGTAAGGACTCAGTATGTGTCCTTCACTTGCACACAATGAATTACTAAATATTCTGCATAAGACACCATTGTTTATAAGATGCATCACTAGTTTAAAAACAGCATTGGGAAATAATATAATGAGCTACCACAATAAATATTAGCATACATTATAAAACACATCCTAATTTTATAAATGTTAAAATATGAGTAAATCTTAGATTTAAGAAATATAGTATATTTATTACCTATGAAAAGCTGGCAAGTTTCCTCGAAAGGCTGTCTGCTATTGTTTTAGAAGAAACTAAAGTATCATCATCATGCAGTCCTTTATTGTTTTCTCTCCAAATCTTTCTAGGGACGGCTGGCAGCTGCCTTCGTCGCTTTAGTACCATGCCTTTCATGTTCTGCAACATCAATAATGTTTGCAACTTTGCTTCAAGAAATGACTATTCTTACTGGCTCTCTACCCCAGAGCCCATGCCAGTGAGCATGCAACCCCTAAAGGGCCAGAGCATCCAGCCATTCATTAGTCGGTAAGGTATTGATTTAGCTGTGACTTTTACCAATCCCCAGTTAATTAGCTAGTCATATTTGAGTCCAAAGCTAACAATCTGATGATATTCCTCCTAGGTTAGGTAGAACAGAGGTACCTCTTACTATTCAATTAAGTATTTAATTTGACTCATATTTATTGGTGGTCTGCTTTTGACCAGGCCCCCATGATAGACATAGTGTAATAGCCAGATAACTGATAGTGTAGTACTTATTTATTACATAAATTTGTCTAATATATATCAGATTTGGGCTAAGTTCTACAATAAATATAATAAAAATGTTATGAAAGCATAGGGAAAGAGATGTTTAATTTCAAATGGAGAAATCTGGGATGACCATATGGAAAAAATATGTCTTGAACTGATTAGTCCTTGAATGACTAGACGGACTTGAGGCACAGGCAGTTATAAAGGGGAGATATATACTAGGCAGATAAAATGACAATAGGTAATAAAGTAATGTATCTAGGGTGTAGTATGTAAAGGTTATGTTGGGAGAAAAGATTGCAAAGTTAGCTCGGGCCCAGATGGTAGAAGGCCTTCTGTACCAAATTGTAGTTTGAAGTTTACTTGATATGTAACAAGGAGCCCCGAAATATTTTAGAGCTACACTTCAGATTAGATTATAGTGCCATCAATGTGTAACATGGATTACAGAAGGGATAGTCTTGAGGTAGAGAGAACAGTTGGATTGAATGGTATTGCTATAGCCCTGATGTGAGTAAATTGGAACTCACAGTAGGGTACATGTGTCACGTTATTAGGCTAGATAGGATTTGACAATTGATAGCTATGGGAAGAAGATGGTAGCTGAGATTTGGAGCATGAGTAACTAAGAGGATACCATTAATAGAGTTTTGCCATTTTGAAACCTAGTTTAACTCAGTCTCCCAGGAATATTGGTTATTGCCATTTTTATTCTGATCATGACCCAGGATTTCAGTAACCATAAAGGATGAATTGCTGGAAAGTCTGCTTCCTTTGATAGTAAATATAAAGATTAAAGCTGGTTCAGCCTTAGTAGCAAATTCATGGTGCCCTTTTTAATACATTTTCCTGAATCCTTTGGGAATTTGGGAGTGTGTGAGTGTGTGTGTGTGTAATTTTGTCAGTCCCAACTCTTGGGAGTAAAACCTTGTCTAAATGTATTACTTATTTTGTTAGGTAAACTGCAAAACTGGCCTCAGTAATATGTCAAGAGGTCCACTCATGTTTTTCATTAAAGATATGGAAGACTCAGCTATATTCATTCTGTTGCTATTTTACTTGATTTTGTAGATTTCAGCCACATCTCCAAGTGCCTGGGTACCTGCCCAGCATTCTGGATTTGTTGTACTTCTCCATATATAGTCAAATGTTTAATAAATGTCCTTTGGACCAAGAATAATGGGTAGAGATTGAGAAAGTGTCCGTTTCTTATATTTTCGAGTCTTTCTGACATTGTTCTTACCACAGTTTCAGCATTACTAAATGTCTCCCCTCCAATTGAGCACTTTGACAACAAGTAGTATGTGCAATACAGCAAGCCAAACTCTTATGGCAATTAAGGCATTGACTATAGGAAGTATGAATAGAAATTTAGGGCAGAATGGAATATCAAAAGGCCATTGCACTGGTTCTGCAGTTTTTTGACAAAAGTTTACAGTTTATTATGTATATTGGGAGACAATACTTAGCAAATGCAATCCTCAAAGTGCATTTCTTCACCTTTTGTGATCATTGAAAGACACATTAATTGGCTTCCATACCAGGAAGGCTTCCAATGAAGCAGGATGGCTACTTTTCACGTGCTCACTCTGTAGATTATGTTCCTTTTCCTTTTCCTTTACCAGATGTGCAGTATGTGAAGCTCCAGCTGTGGTGATCGCAGTTCACAGTCAGACGATCCAGATTCCCCGTTGTCCTCAGGGATGGGATTCTCTGTGGATTGGTTATTCCTTCATGATGGTATTTTACACTCTTCCTTACATTTGTCATAATAGCTGACTGTCTGTTCCATCTACATTTCTTCCCAATATGAGGAATCCCTGTCATTTGCATAACAAGAAGCTTAAACTTCAAACAGCTTCTATCCAAGCACTCTGTTCCCCCTCACACATTTTTTGTAACGTATTTTCATAATCTGCCTATTACTTTTTTTGACTACCCTTGGTGTGGATACTATTGTCTTACCTCTGGGCCTGTTCGTTCACTGGATTTGAATCTGGCCAAGCCCAGCACACATCTTTGGATATTCACTAAGCTATTATGGCAGATGGGTATTGCGGCACATTTTTCCTTGTCTTTTATAGCATACAAGTGCAGGGGCAGAAGGCTCAGGTCAAGCCCTAGCCTCTCCTGGTTCCTGCTTGGAAGAGTTTCGTTCAGCTCCCTTCATCGAATGTCATGGGAGGGGTACCTGTAACTACTATGCCAACTCCTACAGCTTTTGGCTGGCAACTGTAGATGTGTCAGACATGTTCAGGTAAAGTGCTTATAGCTTTAATTCAGGTCCAAAGCTTCCTTCAGAGATGCTAGGGAAGAAAGAGACAATTTATGGGTGGTTTATTCTCAAGAAATGTTAGGAATGTATTGGATTGTGTACTTTGTTCTTGCTTGTTATTCTCATATACATGACTCAGGTCAGAAAAACAGACTTGATTAATATTAGGTGAGTTTGGTTTGTGATACCTTAGTAGCAATCCTTCAATAATGAAACAGAGATAAAGAAAGGTTATGTGACCTTCCTAATAAGTCAGCAGCTGTTCAACTAGATTGAGGCCACCCCAGGAAATGAAGTTACAGTCTGTCTTCTCCTTCTCAGTTCAGTGGTCTCCTTTCCCAGGATATTTTAAAGATTCTGATTTAATGAGCAAGACATACATAATATATGTACCTCAGGATACTTCAATCTATTGATTTTTTTCAGTTTAAATTTATTTTTCTGTGTTGCTTTTGAATTATCACTACTTGATATTTTTCTTATGGTCCTTGTTATCTATTCATCATCAGTTGCCCAGATTTCCCTCATCCTGTGAATATTAGAAAAATGTATGAGAGAAAGAGAAAAAAATAGAAAATAAGAAGGAGACACAAATATACAAAGATAATAGTGTTGGGGAGAATAGTTAGAAAATATCTGTGACCACTAATGGTTCTTAAACCATACTAGTCACTGCATTAGATCATATTGCTGAAAAGTAAGCCATTAAGTCACCAAGAGAGCTACTTAACACAAAGAGAATGTTTAGTTATAAATTTGAACCAATAACAGAATTGAAATACCAGAAAATATGGATCTGATTGTCTTATTTCTTATTTCCCAGTAAACCTCAGTCAGAAACGCTGAAAGCAGGAGACTTGAGGACACGAATTAGCCGATGTCAAGTGTGCATGAAGAGGACATAACATTTTGAAGAATTCCTTGTGTGTTTTAAAGTGTGATATATATATATACATATATATATATAAATATATGAAATTCCTAGGATGCAATGTCTCATTGTCCCCAACTTTACTACTGCTGCCGTCAATGGTGCTACTACATATGACCAAGATAACATGCTGACTAGTAACCATGAAGATTCAGATGTACCTCAGCAATGCACCAGAGCAAGGTCTCTATTATTTTTCTACTAAAGAAATAAGAAAGTGAATTTACTTTTTGGGTCCAGAATGATTTTCTCCAAGAATTATAAGATGAAAATTATATATTTTGCCCAGTTACTAAAATGATACATTAAAAATTCAGTTAAGAGAAGAGTTACACTGAGTAAAATAAAAGACTGCAGTTTGTAGGAAGAATTATTTTTCATGGTGCTACTAATCCTGCTGTATCCCAGGTTTTTAATATAAAGGTGTTAAGCCTATTTTGCTTTGTAAGTAAAGGATGTGTATATTGTGAACAGCCTTTTAGCTCAAAATGTTGAGTCATTTACATATGACATAGCATGAATCACCTTTTACAGAAAATGTAGGAAACCTTAGAATACAGACAGCAATATTTTATATTCATGTTTATCGAAGTGAGAGAATTTATATTCCTACATCAAGTTACTACTGAGAGTAAATTTATTTTGAGTTTTATCCCCTAAGTTCTGTTTTGATTTTTTTAAAAAACAAACCCTTTTAGTCACTTTAATCAGAATTTTAAATGTTCATGTTACATACCAAATTATAATATCTAATGGAGGAATTTGTCTTTTGCTATATTCTCCAAGATTATCTCTTAAGACCATATGCCCCCTGTTTTAATGTTTCTTACATCTTGTTTTTACTCATTTCTGACTGGACAAAGTTCTTCCAAACAATTCTGAGAAACAAAGCACACACATAGAATTAACAATTCTCTTCCCTGTGCTGCTTATGTAAGAATCTTCCTGTGGTCTCTGCTTGTACAAAACTGGGAAACAACACTTGGTTAGTCTCTTTTAAGTTACAAAAAGCCAATTGATGTTTCTTATTCTTTTTAAATTTTAAATACTTTATTATAAATATTCACAGGATACCTTATTTCCCTAGCTGTCGTCTTCTCACTTAATGTTTTTTAAATCCACCAATATAAATTTAATTAAAGATATATGTTGTAAGGATGGTCTGTTGTGTATCTCTTCAGCCTGTGTGGAAAAAACCCCTGCTCATTTACAGATAGATTACCAATCTGCACGTCAACAAGTCATCTTTTCCCAGGGAATCGGTTTCTCCATGCTTTGATCACTCTGATAGTAGATAGAAAACATATAGTAATGTAAACTTTTTCCAATGAAGAAAACTACCTATTGGAAGATATTTCTGAGATAATAAATTTCTTGACAACATTGTGTTAATGGCTGAGAAAGGAAACAACTGGCTTCTATTTGGGGAAGAATTCATTAATAATGTTTCAAGCAGGTTAGTGAGCTAATATTCCTAATGATTAAGAATGAACATGCATAGTTCTCTAAAATAGTCAAGGACTTGTTAAAAATAAGATATTAAAAACTTCCATAAAAAATTTATGTTACAGCTAAAAGATAAAACAACCAAAACAATTTTGTGTATTCTAAATCCTAATATGAACCTATGCAAAATCTAAAGCTTAGAATCTCTAGTGGTAAAACTTAGAATCCAAATAATGAGAACTGTCTAATAATGTTGTTGATTCTGGATAGCCAATTGCAAATTTTAGCTTTATTTTTTCATCTAGTCCCCTGCGTAAAGTCAGTAATGAGTAATTGTAAGTGAAAACACCATATCACTGCCCCACAGATTTTTCTACATGGTGTACACTCAAAGGTGCTCCTTCTGTTACAGTCGCAAACACGAATTCCAAAGATTTTGCTTTTTGTAGCTTTCCCTCTCATTTATAGCTGGTTGAAAGCCTTGGCCCAAACAGAATCTCCTTTTTGTTTGTTTGTTTGTTTAGTTTTGTTTTGAGACAGGGTCTCCTCTGTCACCCAGGCTGGAGTGCAATGGCGTGATCTCAGTTCACTGCAATATCTACCTCCTGGGTTCAAGCGATTCTCCCACCTCAGCCTCCCGAGTAGCTGGAGCTACAGATGCATACCACCACGCCTGGCTAATTTTGTGTAGTTTTAGTAGAGACAGGGTTTCACCGTGTTGCCCAGGCTGGTCTTGAACTCCTGAGCTCAAGCGATCTGCCTGCTTTGACCTCCCAGAGTGCTGAGATTACAGGCGTGAGCCACCACACCCATCCCAGAACCTCCTAATTTTAAAATTGTTCCATGTGCAGCTAGTCTAGATGTTTCTGAAATCCCCTAACTATTCCTAGCCCTGCTTTGTTGTTTGAAGTACACAAATTCATTCCAGGACATTAATATTGTTAACCCTCCCTTGCCAGGGATTATTCAAAGATTAATCTAGCTGCTCTACTAGTTACCTATGGTGAGTTTTTGTGTTTTGTTTTGTTTTTGTTTTTGTTTTTTAGGTTTTTTTTTTTTTTAATCATCTGTGAAAATTCCAGAAGTACTATGGTGAGTTTTACAGTCATACACAATTAATGGTTTTCTCACATTGGCAGGAAATGAATGAACTATTCTGCTTAATCAGATAGTTTGACTACCAAATAGTTATGTGTACCAAATGTACTTTTACCAGTTAATGAATCTTTCGTGATTCAGATGTTACTTAAGGACCAAATCCTAGTCTTTTATAGCTCTGTGTGTGTGTGTGTGTGTGTGTGTGTGCGCGCGCGCGTGCGCCTGCACGGATGTGCACATGTATCTTTCGAAAAGTTGAGGTCTACATGAATAACTTCCTATACACACACACACGTATACGTGTATAAACACACACAGACACACACACGTTTAAGAAAGTAGACATTCCAATTATTTTTATAGCTTATTGGCCTGATCTATGCCATGGTGTCACACTCATTGCTTCCAAAGGAGGTTGTATTGGACACCTTGTGATTGTATGATGTTTTTTCCTACCCAGCCAAATTTGAAGAACACTTTTTCATTCTTGTAGTGGCAATGAGGTTCTTTGCCTCAATGTCCTGCCAAGCCATCAAACCCTTATTCAGAAGTTAATCACAAGAGGGCGCTGTTGCTTATAAAAATGAATCAGCATGTGTAATGATTTGTTTGAGCTCATTGGTGGTGGTGGGGTTGTCCAAAGTCCTGTTTCTAGATCCCCTGTTTTAAGTTTCATGTATTCTTTCAGCCTCATAAAACTCATTAGCAAATATTTTAAGAGGTGGCCTACTTTCCCAATGTCTGCATCCAAAATGAAGAGAACAGCTTTGCTGTCAAAGATGCTCTCTCTCTCTCTCTTTTTTTTTTTTTAGACGGAGTTTCGCTCTTGTTCCCCGGGCTGGAATGCAATGGCGCGATCTCGGCTCACTGCAGCCTCTGCCTCCCGGGTTCAGCGATTCTCCTGCCTCAGCCTCCCGAGTAGCTGGGATTACAGGCGCCCGCCACCACGCTGGGCTAATTTTGTATTTTTAGTACAGACGGGTTTCTCCATGTTAGTCAGATTCTCTTCTTAAGAGCCTGATTAACAGTTGGTTCTGGTAGCACTTCCCATGCCTCTCAACACAGAAGCAAGGAGCAATCACTTTTGTTTGACCGGAACTTCAATTGGTTTCCTTGGCAGAGAAACTCAGTTCTCAGGCAGGACTATACAACACCTTCATCCCTAGGCAGCTCCAAAATACATGGAATAATATTTAAAAATCATATGTCATTTCCATTTTAGAGCAGTAGTTTTTAGAGTATATTCAGGGAGCTTGGAAAGTTTGTTTGGTGGAAATACTCCTAAGTTGGAATTGAATCCAGAGAGGCCTGTTTCCTGAGTTCCACATCAACAAATATTGATTGGATGCTTGTTAGCTTAGGACACCATGACAGATAGCAATCCAAAAGGAACTCAACCAGGAAAATAAGCAGTGACCGTAATATAGTAAATCCTCACCTCACGTGGTCAATATATTTTTAGAAGCTGTGACTTTAAAGGAAACGATGTCCAACATTATTCAGTTATAATGTTGATGAGGAAAAAAAAATTGATTTGTTATATGTTGTTTAGCTTTAAAGTCGAAGTTTCCAAGAACCTATGGACGTTAAGTGAGGACGTACTGTATGTACACTGGAGAAGAGGTATGCTAGTCTGTCTCTGACTACCAAATCTTACTAACTCTTCACCTATCAGATAATGGGGGTTTTCGCAAGAGTAGCTGTCTGGAGGAAGCTGGCTCACCAACTTGTTCCTCAAAACATGGGCTAAAATCACATTTACGTAATCTTAATTATTTATTTCTCTATTAGTGGACTGCATACCCAACACCTGACCCTGCAGGATAACAAATTGCTTACATCATACCAATTTATGCCAAATATCTCTGCTTCCCCCTCCACCATCACATTTCATCCTGCTTTCTGCCCCAGAGGGTTCCTGAGCCCTCTAGCTTCTGGTTGGTTTCAACCAATTGGAAGTCCCCGCAGAATACCAGAGAAGGGGAGAAGAGTTGGGTTAGGGTATTTATTTTCATGGCTTCTTCTCTATGAGGTCACCTCAGGTTGGCTTGTCACTCTTAATTGAATGTCCCTACTCCTCTCAAGATGACTTGCTATTCCTAATTATCTTCCTTTCTGGTTCCAGTAACCCCTTCTTATGTTTTTAGGTCTAGGTGTGATGGGTACGGTGACAAGTCTGCTGTTGCTGTGCTGCTAGACTTGGATTCCTGAACAACCATTTGTGATTCCCCCTCCACACCATCTATATATTTCTAATTAAACGCTCCTTAGGTTATCCTAATTTAAGTGTGTTGTACTTTTGCTGTTGATACTCCAATGAATACTCAACACTTCTATTTTTCAAAATCTAGAGAAAGTGCTTTATTTCCATATGTGACAAAATGAGGGTGAATTGATAAAACCGACATGCATGATTAAGCATGCATCTTTGACTTTGAACTAAGGGATGGGCCAGCAGAAATATGACTTAACACCACTTAATCTAAGACCTAGTTTATGAAGAGTTATTGGAAGCTGTGTTCCAGGGTACTTATGGTGAAATGAGGCAAAATATGTTCCTTATGATCCTAAATTATTTATCTTTTTCCAAATAGTGTCCCACTGGATCTCTAAAGAATGCACTTTTATTTCCCCCAGGTAGTCATTTGTCTTCCTCCATCTTAACTTCAAATAATTAATTTGTTACCTCATTAGCAGACTAGATTACAAGTACCAATAACTCATCTATGAAAGCTCCAAAAAGAAACTCCTGGTAGTATTACTTCAACCAGAGGAATCTGCTAAGCCAGATATACCTGCTTGCAGTCAGTGAAAAGCCCCAAAGTGTTACTAGCTGAGAAAGGAGTAATTTATTAGTGGTTTTCTAGCCTCAAGAGCATCTGTAAAAGTAAACCTGCAGAAGTTCTTCTGATCTGCTTCCCTTGTATTCAAGGGTACCTGAGTGAATGCTTATACTAGGGATTATGGAAGACAGGTCAGGTTCTAAAGCCAAAGACAGTCTGAGAATACTGTACTTGGTAATTTCAACCAGTCCCACGTCGAACCTACCAAGAAACCAACATACTTCCTCTTCTTGCAAAATAGTTTTCTGGTTGATTTTCATAGGGGCAGGAAAGTGCTTGCTGTTGCCAGTCTATCAAAAGCTACAATAGTAACCCCCGATGTCAGATCTTTGTGTCTCTCTGACACAATAATTTGACCTTTGCTTGGGCTCCAAGGAAGGCTACCTCTAACACCTCAGTAGTAATAAGACTAACACCTTATATTTATATAGTTCTTATTAAAATATCATCCTTCACACATTTCATCTGAGTTTCAACAACTCTGATGTACTGAAGCAGTGCAAGGATTAGTCTCCAATATACGGATGCGGAAGCTGAGCCTTGGAATGGTTAACTGACCCCAAAAGTCACAGGACAAGTTACTAAGTTGTTTTCACTCAAAATCTAATCATCACTTTTGAGCCATGAAGATGCCCATATCTAAAATCTCATGATCCTGTGTGGTGGATATTCATAGCAATATATATAGGGGTCTCTGCCTCATAAGAAGTGATAGGCTGTGTTTTGGAAGTCTTGGTTCACAGGTAAGGATGAGTGCTTTCCTAGCACCTTT